TAAAAAGAGAAAGATTATTCAAACTCCCTCCTTGAGCAATCAGCAAAATCCTCTATGTGGTACACTCTAGGACAACTTACCTGGTTTCTTCAAAGACTGTCTTGTCCATCAACTGATGAATGATTAAACAAAATGCTGCATATCTCTGCAATGTGATGCAATCATAAAATGGACTGGAGTAGGTACATGATACAATGTGGATAACCCTTGAAAATATGAGTCTCAAGTAAAAAAAGTCAGACACAATATGCCACATTTTGAGTGATTTCATTGACATGAAAAGCCCAGAATAGGCAAATTCATGGAGACAGAAAGTGTGGCTATCAAGAATTAGGGTCTCTTTTTGGAATAAAATGTTGAATGTGAAAATATTTTGGAATTAGATAACGGTAATGATTATGTGAAACTCGATAACTAATAAAAACCACCAATTTGGGCACTTAAAAAGGTGACTTTTATAGTACCTAGCTTATAAAAGAAATAAAAGACAAACAAAAAAAAAGGAGTACCTGAATTATATCTCAAAAATTATTACTGAAAAAGGTAAAGGGCCAGGTGTGGTACTGCATGCCTATAGTTCTAGTGACTCAGCAGGCTGCAAGTTCAAGGCTAGCTTCAGCAACTTAGCAGACCCTGTCTCAAAATAAAATATAAAAAGAACTGGGGATTTAGCTCAGTGGTAAAGCATTCCTGGGTTCAGTACCCAGTACCAAAAAGAAAAAGAGAACATCATTTTACTGGACTAAAACAGGCTTAAAAGAAACTTAAGAAACATAATTAACTAAATATGAATAGACCTTGTTTGAATCCCAACTGAAACAAACATACTGTAAAATGACATTTTAAGATAATGGAAGAATTTGAATGTAAACTTGGAATTATTGTTTATTTTCTTAGTAATCACGCTGGCATTGTTGCCAGGTATAACTGTATCTTTTGTTTTGAAATGAATGCTGAAATATTTAGGAGTGAAGTGACATGACATTTGAGATTTGGTTTAAAATATTTTGAGTGATAGATGGAGCAAGTATACAAAAAATAAATGTTTGTGGTTGATGATCATTGGCTGGTAGATAAATACACAAGGACTTGTTGAACTCTATTTTTGTACATGCTTGGAAATTTTCATAATAAAAATGTTAAGAATAAAGGAACTCAGGGTTTCTTAACCAACTTAATTTGTTTTGATTCCAAGAATTTCAGTTGTACCATTGAATTTCAGTAGTGTAAGGATGAGGTTGAAGAGCAAATATTAGAAGCAGGTCTTTACTTTTGAGTTTTCAGCAGAAAAAAGCTCAAGGAGAAAATTTTGAATTCCTCCATTAACTGGGGAAAATTAATGGACAAAATAGGAAAGGCACTGGGCTATAAGTTTCTTGGTCATTTTTTTTTTTAATATTTAGTTTTTGGTGTAGATGGACAAAACACAATGCATTTTATTTTTTTATGTGGTGCAGAGGATCGAACCCAGGTCCCGCCCATGCTAGGCAAGCGCTCTACCGCTGAGCCACAACCCCAGCCCTCTTGGTCATTTTTTAAAAAGAGAAAGATTATTCAAACTCCCTCCTCAAAAGCCACTTGAAATTCTGTGAGAATAAAATTATATTAACCAAATAGTTGATATTCTGAGCAACCAGTTGATTTCTCATCATCAAGATAAGCAAGTATTTTGATATGTTATATCTAATTGTCTATTGTGAAGGGCTTCCTATGGAGATATGTTATTCCTAGAACCTACTCTAACTCTTGTTTGACTGAACTGCCTTAAAAATATGTTGCATGCATGTCTATACTCATCTATAATTCAACGCTTAATCTTTGGCCAGGGAGTTAAACTGAATTACATTTTTTTTTCTTTTTTTTAGTGCTTTGTATTGACCCAGGGCCTTACATATGCTAGGCTTTACCACTGAGCTATACCCCTGGCCCTATACTAATATCTTTCTTATGATATCATCCAATTTATTTTCAGTCACTGGTTTCAGTAGAGTGTGGCCTATCTGCTTCATAATCAGAATCTAGTTCTCTTTCCAAATGTTACCTGACCTGACAGAGAACTGTTTTGCCACATGATAATTAGGAATTCATGTATTATGCTAGTCATATTTCAAGTACTCAAAGTCTCATGTGGCTACCATATTGTACAGCACGGACAGAACATTTCCATACAGACAGTTGTTCTGGACAGTGCTGGAGAGCTGCAAATGATTCTTTTGCCTCAAAGGACAGTAAGCTGTGATTAGCTCAGCATGATTGCATCATAAAGAGGTGTGTGGGAAGGGGGAGATGATAGAAAGACAGATAGGGGAGTTGGTCTTGTTCCTGATGACAGTGAAGAACCATCTAGAATTTCTAATGCAGATAATGACAATGTGGAATAATTATTAGAAGAGGGAAAACTGGAGACAGAAAGACTGAGTGGAGCCTGCTTCAGTGGCCAGAACAAAGATCATGGAGTTAGAACTAAGAAACAGGCAAAGGATAAAGAGGAGAGGAAGATCCAGAATTGGCTGACTGGAACAGGTTGAAGAAGGAGGCCAAGAGATGTGGAAGAGCCTGAAAGAGGAAAATATGGGGACCAAGAATTGTTTTTGTTGGATTTATTTGTTCATTTATTTTGAGACAGCATCTCATTCTGTTGCCCAGAATAGCTTTAAACTCCAGGATGCAAATGATCCTTTTGCCTCAAAGAACAAGTTATTCATCAAGACAGAGGACACAAAAGGGACATGTAGGGTTGGATGAAGACAGTGAATTATATTTGAGGCAAGCTGATTTGAGATATCCAGATTACAATATCTGGAAAGCTTCTAAGTATATGGGACTCTAGTGTGGGGTGGTAGGAGGCAGGTGGGCTGAGATACAGGATTGGAATTCCAGAACTGCCCTTGTGTGGTGAAAGAGAGTCACTCAAGGCCTATTAAAATGATGATAATGGAATTTTTATGTAAAGAGTTAAATACTATGAATGGCTCATAAGTGCTCATTCTGTATTGCTAACATTCTTATCTCTCTTGTGTAACTGCTTTAAGAATTAGAGATAATGTGTATAAAATGTCTGGCACTCAGTATATGACTTTTATTACTGTCACACCTGGGAAGTTGGTCAGCCAGAGTATACAGGGTGAAAAGAGAAGGGAATTGAGAAAGAACTCAGCCACAAAAAAAGAAAGGATGGCTGCAGATAAATGTTAGAGGAACACCATGGGGAACAGGGACCTAGCTAGCAACTCAGAGGCAAGAGAAGCCAAAGAGGCAGTGGACAGTCGGGTCATATATCAGAAAAGCTGAGTAAGTGAAGGACCATTGGATTTGATCACTAAAGCAATTTCAGGGAAATAGTGAGAAAGAGCGTTGGACTATGCAAGGTTGAGGAGTGAGTAGGGCTGAGGTGATGGGAAAATATATTGTATTTTCTGAAGGTTGGTTAGGAAGAAGAAGAGCATTTGTGGTACCTGGGGACTGGGGACATTTGATGGAGGTAAGAGGTATTCACTTCTAAGACAGAATGTATATAAACAGAAATGCTATCAGCCAGAGAGAAATTAGAGAGGAGACAGAAAGAATAACTTGGGGGAATCTGAAGAGGTTGGCAGGGATGGAGCCCAGAGCCCAGGGGTAGAGATTAATAGTCATCAAGGGGAAATGTACACATTTATTGAACTAAGAGTTTGGGAGAATATGAAGTCAATGCATCCCCAACAGGACTATCAACAGGTCTATGCCTTTCTATCTGGAGTCCTATTCCTCTAGGTCTCTGTTTCATTCATTTAATCTGACAGGTTAAATTTGGACAGACTAAATTCTCTTGAATAATCAGGCCCAATAATAAACTCAATTGATTCAGCTCCCTTTAAACTGTATTATGAGCACTTTTAGTACCAAACACAGACTATCCTGAACTTACCTCAAAAGCCACTATAAATGGATTTTGCTCCATCATTCTTGGCACAATTAACAAACTACCTGGGCCTCCTGCAGGTCTGGCCCCAAGCCACCCTTATCTCAGGCCACACTTCTATATGCTCAAGTATTTTGGGATTCTTAAGCAGATCAAGCACTTTCCTATTCTACCTTAGAGTTCTGGGCAAGCTGTTCTTTCTGCCTGTAGACAGACAACCCCACCACAGTTGCCTATTTTGGTCAGTCAATTAGAAGGCCAGTTTTTGATTTCCCTTCCGGCCCCAACTCCCACAAAAAGTGTGTGTGTGTGTGTGTGTGGGGGGGTGTAGTATAGTGTTTGAAGAGTTCTGTGTTCAGACTGCTTGGGTTCAAATCCCACAAAAACAAATTGCTAGCTGCTCTCTGAACTTGGGTAAGTTGCCCAATATATCCATTGCTATCCCTACAATTTGGGGATGATAAAAGATATTTTAAATTTGTTAATTGTTGGCCAAATTTGTATCTGTCATCTTGAGAATGCTTGTAATACTCACCTCACCTCCACCATGCCACCCCCAGCTGATTACAGTCTACTTGGTGAGCATTGTAAATAAATGAACAGAGAGCACGAGGTCTTTCAGGTTTAGGAGAGACCAGGGGTGAGCTTGCTGAACAAGACATGATTGAAGCCCTGAACACACTGTGGGCTGTGCAGTTTTAGGAAAATGAAGCGCTGGGCTGTCCCAGCCCTGAAGTAACAAGGAAGGCCTCCCCAGCCAAGTATTCGGGGAAGACACGTGGGTCCCAGAGAACCAGATCTCCCCATTACCAAGAACTGGTGGGGAAGATGAACACGGCATTCTCGCCAGGGATGCCTGAGACTTAAAGAAGGATACTCTCTCTATTCAGGGTCTGCTCCTTTTACAGCCATAGCAAGAGCTGGAAGAACTCCCCCTCCCCCGACCCCGGCAAGCTGAAGCTCCAAAGCAGCCAATGGCCAGGCCGCCCCTACTCGCTCCGGGCCTAGACTTCCTGGGGATTGGCCGTCCACCTCATGGCCCTCCTCCCCGCCCGCCCCGGCCCAGAGACTTTCTGAGGATTGGTTGTCTGCTCCACCGCCCTCCTTTCCGCCCTCTCCGCCCTCCGGGTCTCTGCGCCTGGCGCGGAACTGCGGCCTTTTTGTCCCACGGAGTTGGTCGGTGAGTGTCTCTGTCCTCGGGCCTCCAGCTGCTAGTGTGTTCTGCCGGCCCGCAGGCTGGGTTAGGGGTTGGGCTTGCCTCGCGTCCCCTCAAGCTTTGCCCGCCCGGAGCTCCGCTGCTCCCGGCGGCCAGAATGTAGGGGTAGAGCAGCTCTCGGCGTCCCGCGGGGCGGGCAACCTTGTCCGTCCCGGGGCCGCGCGAGACACAGGCGCCGGCGCAGCCACGCGGAGGTTCCCCTGGGAGGACCCGACGCGGTAACAAGTTTGCGCTTTGCTTCTGCAGGCGGATCCGCTGCTACTTTGTAGTGAGTGGCGGGCAGGGCCTCTACCGCCACTGCAGGAACCCCGACCTGGGCTGACCTTGGGCCCTGGGACGTTGTCTCTGACGTCTCGAAGACAGAGCGATCTCAGTTCTAAAGTGCAGGTACGTCCGTGTCTTGAGTGGAATGTAAAGACCCAGGCCACGAGCACGTGGCCAATGGCGAACTGGGTGCTCAGGCAGAGGCCGGAAACTGGCCTTCCCTTAACCGAAAGGAAATTTACATTCACGTGCTCACCCAGTTCAACAACTGCCTCTAATGGATTTTCAGACTTGCTAAAAAAAATAACTGAGACCCACAAGGCAGTACCCAGAGTTAAACAAAAACTCTCCCAAATCGCCCTTTCCTGTGCCCTTTTAAGGTTGATGCAGTGCTTTAAGAGGCTAACACAGAAGGGTAAAGGAAACCTCCATAAAAACCCAGAGAAGAGACTGCAGAAACTCTTCTTTGGAACCTGTCTGGAGTTACAGATGAACTAGAAGAAATTTTGTTACAGATCTAAATATCTTTGTGATGTTTTTATTATAATTAATAGAAAAAAGTGATACATTTCAATTTAAACTAATCTTCAGGCATGCTTTTCAGACTCCTGGGAATACAAGATAATGTTTTCAAATACAGATGAAATGGGAGTTTTGAGATAAGACTAGTATTGGCATCAATCCCATTTTAGTTCCCAACTATTCCCTTTTGGTTCGCCCTCTCTATGAGGCTGCACGTGGCCCCCTCTCCGAACCCCGTCTGAATCCTATCACACCCCTCCTGCGAGCCCCTGCCCTCTGTCTTCCTGCTCTTACTTGTCCATTCTCTTTGTATATCCTTGAAAAGGATGGATATGCTCTGGGAGTCTTGGAACCATCCAAGGTTGGGCACCCCCCTGCTTGAGAACTTTAGCTTTGGCAGCCCTCCTAGTACAGGAATCAAAGAAGCTAACCTTTGGATCTCTTACCACAGTCCTCTTTCCACATCACTTCTGAACTCCTCACCTACAAAGGCCTTTGGATCCTTCTTCTTTCCAGGATTCTTTCCCTTCAAGTTGCTCATATAGAGGATTTTATACTGACTTTTCAACCCTGTCCATCGACTAATCTGGCTAGTCTTCTCCCTTAAACACTCCCATCCTCCTCCACTCCTGTAGAGAGACCCTAGAAGGCCTTCTACCTCACCCTACCCACATTCAAGAGGAGCCCCTGCCACAGGCTGCCTACACATGGTTTACTGATGGGAGCTCTTTTCTTTATCTGCAGATAGCCATAGTATCCCTTAAATAAATCACTGAGGTCAAGCCTCTACCTCCCAACAACTCCAACCAACAGATGGAACTTATTCCTCTCATAAGGGCCTTTACCCTAGCTCAGGTTTACACCCTTAACATTTACATAGACTCCAGATATGCTTTCCACATCCTCTTGTCATGCTCAGCCATTGGGAGGAGAGGGGACTCCTCATCATCAAGGGTACCTCAGTGGTTAATGCTTCCTACATTGTGCCCCTGCTTAGGGCGTCCCACCTCCCCACTGCAACAGGAATAACTCCTTGCAGATCCCATCAAACCGAAACTTCTACCATTTCCAAGGAAAATAACAAAGCTGATGAGGCAGCAAGATAGGCAGCCTTGGATCCCCCAAAAGAGGCCCCGACACTCTTCTTCACCTCAGACCCAAACCCCAGCCACTCAAGACATACTAACTTATCTACATAACCTCTTTCATCCTAATACCTCTGCCCTGCAATAATACATAAAGTCCTATATTACCTCTCTTCCCCTGGACTCAATTTCTGAAGACCCTTTCTGCTTCTTACAATATCTGCCAAAGTTCCAATCACAACTCAAATCTTCACTCAACTGCCTTCCCAGTCCGTCAAGCCTGGTGCCATTTGCCTGCATCTGATTGGCAGATGGACTTCACCCATATGTCCACAGTAAATATCTCCTGGTCCTGGTAGATACCTTCACCAGCTGGACAGAGGCCTTCCCTACAACTAATAAAAGGGCTCAAATAGTGGCTGACACCTTAATAAAAGGAATCCTTCCCTGCTTTGGGTTGCTCTGCTCACTACAGACTAATAATGGCCGGAGTTTACAACTCAAATCTCCCAAATCATTTCAAAGGCCCCAAACATCCCCTGGCACTTTCACATTCCCTACCATCCTCAGTCATCTGGAAAGGTGTTATGAACCAATTGAGCCCTAAAATCAACCTTGACTATCTTTAGAGTTAAAGTTAGACTGTCTTAAACTCCTTCCTCTAGCTCTACTTAGGGTTAGGGCCCTACCAAGAAAGCCCCTAAACATTTTCCCCTTTGAGCTGATGTATGGTCGAGCCATTCCCTCCAACTCTATCTAGCTTACCAACCTCCCACACTCCCGCCTCATCTAATGACCCCTCTCTTACACTACCTCAGAAATAAACTATAGGCCAGTGTTGCCTTTCCTAAGGCCTCATGCTCTCCTCTGACTCTGGGAGACAGTCTCTTCCCAACCCCCTCCTTTACTAACCTCAAAATGAAAGAAACCATTTAGGGTAATCTTAACTACCCCCTCTGCTGCCAAACTCAAGGGCATTCCACACTGGATTCATAATTCCCATCTCAAACTGTTCACATCATCTCGTTACAGGATCTCTGTCTTTGCGCATCTCCAAAACTTCGACTTTCAACTCTATGGAACTCCCACTGATTCCTGAAAGAAGACTCTTCCCTGCCAGAGGAGGCTGCTACAAAGAATGAGTAACCTGAATGTCTATTCCCTTTTTACCTCCATGGCACTAACCTTCATACTTACCCTCTTGCCAAACCCAACCTTTCCTAAACCAAATCTAGCTAATGTCCGGGAGTGTCCTAAGGCCTGCATTTCCCAGGGTTACTTTGTGGCCTATACCCATGTCCCCAAAGAATGCTATGGTTGAGCAACCCTCTGCAAATGGGTCAGACTAGGTATTGGACAGGTCAATCAAATTTCAAAGCTAGACTAAATCAATGTCCCTGGCCAGATCAAGCCACTCTCAAGACTTACTGCTGGACTTTCCAGACCCACATGGGAATGTCGGATGGGGGTGGGGTGCAGGATCGGGCCCGCAAAGAACACATTTTTACTGAGCTGCCCCAAGTACTACCTCCATAATATTTTCTTTCCCACAAGGCGACCCAATCAGATGGGGAACGATACCTAAGGACCCTGTCTTAATTTAGATAATTAATACTACTCACTATCTGCTAAATCTTGCTAATCCTTCTTTGGCTCAAGGATGTTGGATGTGCCTAAAGGCTGGCTTCTCCCATATAATAGCAACTCCTTTAGACCTAAACAACTCATTGGTATTCAATGAGATCTCCCCAGACTCCGCCGACATTTCATCTAAGCTTGTGCTCCAATGTGTTTTAACTCATCAAGGATTACATCAGGTGGGGACTTGCAGGATAGTCAGTGTAGACAGATCATCCCATACACAGTGTCTCAAAACTCCCACTCACCAGTCTCCAAGGCTTCCTCCTTGTGCAGGACAAGTATATATCATTGCCTACCCTCCAGATGGAAGGGTATATGTGCTTTAGTCCTCTTATTTCCACCTACAGAGGTCATCTCAGGGCATGAGGAAGTCCCTCTCTCATGACTCATATGAGCCCTTGACACAAATGGGCAATTCAATTTGTTCCCATACTAGCCACCCTGGGGGCTACAGCAGGCCTAGCCACAGGAATAACCTCATCCATTACTTATTATCATCAGCTCTGCAGATCAGCAGATAGGGGATATCCAACAGGAAGCCACGTCTATACTAACCCTTCAGAATCAACTGGACTCCTTTGCCGCTGTGGTCCTATAAAACTGCTGTGGACTGGACATACTAACAGCAGAACAAGGAGGCCTCTGCCTATACCTACAAGAGGAATGTTTTTAGTCAACCAGTCAGGGGTAGTGAAGGACAAGAAGAGCAGGTAGAAAAGAGGAGAGAACAACTAGGCCAACAGTTCCCCTGGGGAATGCTCAATCTAGTGTGGCCTTGGCTTCCCCGCCCTGCAGGACTCCTATTAGTCCTCTATATGTTTCTCCTAATAGGACCATGCCTGTTAAATTGCCTACAGAAGTTCAGATGCAAGATTAGATACACAAATTCACCAACCAGTCAGTCAACTACTTCTCCTCCAAGACTACCCACCCCTGACACCCAAGACGAGATCTAGAACTCTTTGTCAAGTCCTCAGACTCCAGAGACTCTGCCCCCACCTAAAACCTTCCCTGACCCCTGTTACAGGAATAAGACTCTTCGCCTCTAATCAGCAGGAAAAAGCTGCAGAAGAAAGACCTTTATCCCCACTCCTGGTATCTGTAAAAATAAAAAGGGAGGAATGTTGGCATCAGATCTGCCATTTTAGCTCAGGAGCCATTTTATCTAGGAACTCCTAAATTTTAATTCTGAGGCAATGTCGATCAGCTTCTTGTAAAACATGTAACTGCTAAAAGGTCAGCCCCACCCCAGCCCATGTTGCAACCCCTAAGCGTGCATGTGAAATTCCTCTTGCAGCCTATAAAGCCCTCTGAGTGCTGACACTGCTGCTCTCTGTGGAGGGACAGTCTTGCTGGTTTGCTCTGAGACTGACAATAAATTTCGTGTGAGATTTGGTGTGAATGGTGTGGTCTGTGGACTTTGGGAGTGTCCTTTCAACTAGATTCCCCACTTTGCCAAAGTTTTAAGAATAAAATCCTTGGACTTTTGTTGCTGAAATCTCAGTTCTTGTCCAGGATGCCAATCCAATAACACGAAAACAGTTTTGAGAAAAAGGAAAAGAAGTTTTATTGCTTTGCTAGCAAAGGAGAAAAACACTCTTGTCCCAGAGGCTGTGATTCTGCCAGGCATCATGGGGCTTTTAAAGAGGTGATTCAAAGGCTACATTCCTTGTGTTTTCTGGAGTTGAAATTCACTTGTTAATTTGGGAGACAAGTAAGGAGATAGTCATTTCTGAGATCTCTGGTACCATCCCTTAAGTTTAGATTATTTCTTCCTATGGTGGGTGTGTACTCCAGGACAGATAACTGCCTAAAATGGGGAAGAAATGTAATCCTGTTTCCTCTGAGATTAGGGAGGAGTAGGGAGAAAGGAAGAGAAACCTGTCCATTTTAAAAATAAGTTGCAATGGCAGAGCATCAAGGGCTACATTCAAAGCATAAAGAAGACCACTGTCACACAATCACAGAAGGGAAGAGTAAATGCATCAAGGGAAGAGACTGAACTCCTGCCATGCAGGAAGGGGCATGATAGCCCAAAAAACCATTTTGGTGAGCCATTTTAGGAGCTTATTATATATGTCTAGTGGTTAACCTCCAGATGTGGTTCCTGTGTTTGAAGAAGACTGACCACAGATATTCTTGTTCAGGGTAATTACTTTGGTTTTCTTTGAAGGTGGGGAAAAAAAAAATCCAAAAGAGTAAAACACATGTACATAATGCTTGTCCTAGAAATTTACTGAGGAAAAAAATACTAAAAGTTGTTTGATTAAAAGATCATTTAAAAAGTTTCCATTCTTTTTAGAGGTCAAAAACAGAAGTACAAGCCATAGACGCTGGGATGCTCTGATGTTATTTCAATAACTGACAACATCAATTATTCTACAGTTAGGATAGGGAAGTGCCTCTAATGACATGAAATATTCTTACATGTAGAACTGTCTCTGCCCTGCCCCTGGAGTTAGAACAGTAAGACTGTGCCTGTGGTAGCAGGACAATGCAGCAGGTGCTTCATGTACCCCTTTCACTTAATTTTCTCAACTGAGGTGTAGGTACTATTCTCCCATTTTACAGATGAAAAAATGGGTTAGGTGGGCACTTGTCACAAGAGTGGCTCTGAATGAAGAACCTCACATTTGTAACTGCTTTGTAACTAATGAGATCCCTTGAAATTTGGTATTCTAGTTAACAGTAAAAAAATAACATTTAAAGAGATTGTGTCAGTTTTGTGGTGGAAAGGGCCACAAAAGAGCGGTTAAAAATATACGCTTTTTAATAGTATTTAATTGCATTAAACCTAGTTTCCCACAAAGAGAGCACATGTCAGCATGTTATGTGTTTCTAATGTTCGTACCATGATGAGGTATAAAAGAGGGATTTAGGGGCTGTGACTGTGGCTCAGTGGTAGAGTGCCTAGCATGCATGAGGGAGGGTTCAATCCTCAGCACCACATAAAAATAAAGATACTATGTCCACCAAAAGGCTGAGGCAGGAGGATGGTGAGTTCAAAGCCAACCTCAGCAAAAGCGAGGCATAAGCAACTCAGTGAGAACCTGTCTCTAAATAAAATACAAAAACTGGCTGGGGATGTGGCTCATTGGTTGAGTGAGTTCAATCTCCAGTACTCAAAAAAAAAAAAAAAGTCGGGAGATTTAAAGGACACAGTGGTACTAGATCACTAGAATATATAAACATTAGATGGCTATGGAGAAAGTTTTTTGGGAGGAAATGTGATGGTCTGCAAAGGTGCATGCAGCCCAGAACACATTCACTCCTTGTAACCAATTTACTTGTCTAGCAGTTGACTTTTTTTTTAATGAGCCTGAATACAAATGAGCTATTTTCCAGAAACTTTAAAATAAAGGTATTTAATATTTACTTTGGAGTCATTCTTACTACTTCTAACATTTCTCTGGCTTTACTAAGATTTATGTTCCATATTATACTCTAAAAGTCTGGTCTTATAAAAAGTCTTCAGAAATTTATTCGACATGTATAGGCAGGTCAAAATTGCTAGGAAGGGCAATAAGTACGGGTGCATGCCTAAGTGGAAGTCTTCCCCGCGGCTGTGCCCCCTACCCCGCAAATATCAGCTTTATTTGTAACAAAACATTGGAAGAAATCCAGATGTCCTTCAGTGGGTGAATGGTTAAATAAACAGGTACATCCACAACATAGAGTACTATGTAGCAATGAAAAGGAAAAGACTATTAACAAGCAGCAACATGGATATATCTCCAAAGACTTGTGCTACATAAAGATATCCAATCTCAAAACACCACGTATGGTATGATTTCACTTATGTAACATTATTTAAGTGATAAAATTATAGAAATGAATAACAGACGTGTTTTTCATGGTTAAGGATGGAGGTAAGGGCCTTAAATGGTAAGTATTTCTGTGGAAGGAGTTTTTTATTTCAGATTGGGCTGGCGAGTGAAGGGCTCTATGTGGGAGACCTGAAGGAGGAGGGATGAGGGAAATACCATTAGGATATATATATATATATATTTGGGGGAAGACCACCTCAAATGGAGGGAAAAGTATAAAGGCTCTGAGGAAGGTCATGTTTTCACCTTTCTCTGACCAAACATTCCTTCCCCCACATAAGTGCACTTGATCTGAATTTCTGTAGCAGCCTATAATAGCCTTACCACATTTGGAACTGTTCATGGTATAGTTAGATCTATACTTGACTCATTGCCCCTTACTTTACAGGCCCTGGACTATTAGAGGTGAGGTTTATCTAAATTCCTACCATATTTGTAGGGTCTAGTTAAGTGCCTGGCATACTCTACATTCTCAAATATTTAACTTGGCTCCTATGCCCAACTTGACAAGTACAAGGAGCAGCATCATTATGAATTCACTTAATTGAATTATATATGGCATTCAGGTGAGTCGAATTATATATGGCATTCAGGTGAGTCACCTGCTCATAGGAGCAGCAATGTTAAGAGCCTAGGTTCAAATCCCTATATGTGATCTTGTAAGTTACTTCTTAATCTTCATTTCTAAAAACTAGTCATACATAATATATATAACTGCATTGTCAGTAGTAAATGCTCAGTAAATTTTATTATATTAGTGGTACTCATTTTTATAATATATGGTAATTAAAGAGAACAAAGTCACAATATCGGTATTTAGTATTTATATAATACTAGAATAGCTTTGGTCTTTATTTACAAAGTAGACAAAACAGTGGTTGTGACCATATAACTCATTGCCTACATTTCAAGTGCTCTGTAACTGGCTACAGACAGCAAAAGATGGAGTACACTTCTTGTAGAGATTATGTAGTATAGCCATCTTATTTCTCAGAAAATATCAGAACTAGATAGTGTGGTAGGCTGAATTAACAGGTTTCTCTGGAACCTGAAAATGTTAGCTGGTTTGCAGATAGGATTAGATTAAGGGTTTGGGGATGTGGAGATTATCCTGGATAATCCTAGTGGACCCTAAATGCAATCACAAAGCCTGTGTTGGCTTTCATCACTGTAGCCAAAATACACTACTCAACAAGAACAGCTTAAAAAAGAAAGAAGTTACTTTGGACTTACGATTTCATTCATGATCAATCAGTTTCATCACTATGGGCCCAAGGTGAGGCAGAATATCATGGTGATCAGGAAGCAGGAAGGGAAGGGGCTGAAGGGTAGATGTTCCCTTCTGGGGCATGTCCCCAGTGACCCACCTCCTCCAACCATGCCATACCTACCTATAGATAACACCCAGTCAGCCCATTCAAAGTAGGATGGACTGATTAGGTTCTAGGTCTCAATCTATTCATTTTACCTCTGAATACTCCAGGATCAACAGGATGGGGGGTGCCCTCATAAGGGAGATTCCTTACATATAGAGGGCAGTCATGAAGACAAAACACATGTTTGAAGATACTGGTCTTGGAGTGAGGGAGCCACCGGAAGCTAGAAGATGCAAGGAACATTCTCCACTCGACCCTCCTGAGGCAGCATGTACTTGGCTTTCAGACTTTTAATCTTCAGAAAGGAGTGAATAAATTTGTTTCAACCCATCAAGTTTGTGGCAATTTGTTATACCAACCACAGGTAACTAACAAAATGAAAGCTTAAGATTGCAAATGTTTTTGATGGGATTAAAACTACCACACCAGAATACCTCCCAGACTATTTGTATTAGTATCAATGGAAGGGTAGAAGTAGAGCTTATCTATTCATGGGTCAATTTTTGAAAAGCCATGTGGGGTGGTGAATTTAAAATTGAGACTAATAATGACATAAGCATGTGGGTAAAATGCAGAATAAGCAACTACATCAAAAAAGTTTTTAGTTTATTAGAGTGTCATTTTATGTATGCTTTTAACAAATTTCATTTAAACAGTATAAAATACTAAGTTAAAAGATTTTAGTAATAGAAACAAGATAATAGGAAAAACATTGTAATTATAATTTTTTCCTTGTGGGCCATATAGCTTTGGTCAGCAGTATCCCAGAGGTGACACAGACAATTAAATTTTTTTCCATAAATCATGATTGCTATGGAAGTTTTGCATTTTAACTAATAAAACTAAACTGGTCAGATACCAGAGGGCTGACTTAAGTCCTTTATATTATAGGTTGCAAGAATACTAATAATGACAGGAGATAACCCTTAAACACCAGTATAGCAGAGACCAAAAAGGAAATTAGGGCAAAGAATATAAATTTCTGAAAGAAATTCATAATTGTTGAACTCAAAAATTTATTCTTATGGGAAGGAAGAGCTCATGAGATTCAACTAGCTCCTTAAAAGTTAAGGGCAAACATATTGAAAAAATTTTTTTAATTAAAAAAAAAATTTATTATAGGTGGATAAGTTTGTTTTTATGTGGTGCTAAGGATTGAACCCAGTGACTCACATGTGCCAGACAAGTGCAAGCAATCTACCACTAAGCTACCCCAGCCCCCTGAAATTTTTTTTTGCATTTTTTTCTTGGCTTATCAGAATTCTATCTATCTGAAACCATTTTTCACTTATTTAGTAAAGCTGCCCTTTAATAAATGCATTTAGAGCTGAAGCTTAGGGTATGACCAGGTACACTCAATAATAAAGAAAATGTGAAGGTCAAAACTTAGTCTGTTTTTGTGGATGAAGTGTGTGTATATATGAACTGCAGTAATGCCTTATGAAAACTCAACCTGTGAAATTTCATTCTCATAAATAAAGAAGGTAGGATTCAACATTGACCTCTATTTGCCTACCTTTCATACCAAATTTCATATGTGAACAGTTTATATATTAAAATCTATTTAAAACAAATTTAGAGCTGGGCACAGTGGTGCATGCCTTTATTCCCAGCAGCTCTGCAGGCTCAGGAAAGATCATAATTACCAGGGTGGCCTCAGCAACTTGGTGAGATCCTGTAAAACAAACAAAAAAAAAGCACCACTGACTTCCATCCCCAGTACCATTTTAAACAAAAAATTTAAAAAGACATTTCAGATTATATAGAGATTAGAAAGTTTTGAAAAGTGACTAAAATAAGGTCCTGATTTTTTTCAGGGGTGGGATAAGTACAAATGAAGAGCATATTTTTACTTAAACTGTTCACTTTTTTTCTTAATAAATTCTTTTTTTAAAAAAAAATTATTATTTTTGTAGTTGTAGATGGATAGCATGCCTTTATTTTATTTGTTTGTTTTTATGTGGTGCTAAGGATCAAACTCAGTGCCTCACATGTGCCAGACAAGTGTTTTGCCATTAAGCTACAGCCCCAGCCCTCAATATATTCGCTGATGGAATCAAATTCCTGTTTCTACTACCTTGACTTCAAAAAGAAGTTTCATTACAAACCTGAATATTTCTGCTTAAACATGGCTACTCTTACTTCTGAGATGTTTCCATATAGTTTAAGTGCCCAGATTGCAGGTAGCCTAGGATCATTCACATGAGCTTACCTTGAAAAAAAGTAGCAATGCATAAGGTAGTTTGCTAGGGACTTCCTAATAGATATCTAGGCCAGCTGAGGTGTATTGGCACACCTCTGTAATGTCAGCTACACAGAAGGCTAAGACAGGAGGGTCTCAAATTCAAAACCAACCTGCACAATTTAATAGCAACACTCTGTCTGAAAGAGGGCTGGTGCTAAGGATTGAACCCAGTCATAAAGTGCTTACCTGGTATGTGCAAAGCCCTGGGTTACATCCCTAGAACCATAATAAATAAATAAGCATCTAGTCCCATGTTCCACCCTGTTACACCAGTTCTACCGGCTTTGTGTTGTTTAAATCACATATCTATAAAGCTAGTGAAAAACATTTGAAGACACTAGCTTGCTACTCCAAGACCAACAGTTGGACTGTGTCCTGAATATATACCCAAGTGGCAGATCCCTGTGTAGCTGTTTTGGTTAAGCCTCCCAAGATCATCAACCACAACAGCATGAGAAATAATATTCCCAGAAAGTTTCTTCATGTACACGTTTTCTTTCAGAATGAATTTAATTATTTGTTTAACTTTTTGGCCATTTTTATCATTTAGTTGGCTATTTGAGCTAATAAAATTTATGACCCCAGCCAAATTTTTGACCCTCAGTGTTTTTATGGTTTTTGTGGGTGGCTGGGTGACCACTTCATGGGTTATCATGGATATTATCCTTGCAGTTTGTGTGTGTGTGTGTGTGTATGTAACTGGGGATTCAACCCAGGGGTTCTATACCACTAAGTTATATTCCAGCTATTCTTATTTTTTATTTTGAGACAAGGTCCTCCCAGGCTGGCTTCGAACTTGAGATCTTCCTCCTTAGATTCCTGAGCTGCTGGGACTATGCCTGGCTTATGCCTACCTTCTTTATATCTTTTGTGCTAGTCAAAAATACTTGCTCTTGACATCTTTTTGTCACTGCTGACTGCATTTAACATTTTAAGTGTCTCATTTGCAGATATATTTAACTTTACATTATTTAATATGATTTTTTTTTTTTGCTTTAAATTACAAGCACCCATTTTTTTTTTTTTATGGTGAAGGTAGTTATCTTCACACATACCTCCTAACAAAGTTAGCTTTAAAAGCACTATTGTGGCCAGCTGAAATATTATAATCTATCCTGGCAATAGCTGTTCCTCTAATTTCCCAAGGTACACATGAAAAATTAATAAAATTTCAGAAGAGCACAATTAATCTTTAGCAAAAAAATACAAATAATCTTTGGAGCTGATGAAGGCTTTGGCACCATGCCATTTCAGCTTGAATGCTTTCTATTTTCCCACCTTTAAAAGGATAAATTGGCATTTTCTTGCTTATCAAATGAATAGGAAGTACATTCATTATATGTAGGCAGCATACTCCCCCCTCCCAATAAACTAAGATGATAAAAATACACCTTAAAAACATATAAACTCTCCCTTGTCTGGGCTGTATATTTAGAATGAGCTAAGATGAAATTAGGATTTTTTTCTATTGGTACTGACAGATAGGGAATCTCAAAGGAAAATATCAAAATAATTTATTTCAAAATATATAACAAGAAAATGGACATCGATGTCTCTGGTCTGTATAATATGTATGGTTATGTCCCTAGGAACATAAGTATTGTTCCCCAAATTCATCCTGCAAATACTGCTTAGTGTGGTTGAAAAAACACACATGTTAAAAAATAGCATCTTACAAATTTTGAATAGATATTTCACTTAGAGGCTGTAAAATGCGCATGCCACAATCAGTTAAAAATAAGGTTTTAGGGGCTGGGGCTGGGGCTGTAGTTCAGTGGCAGAGTGCTTGCCTAGCATGTGTGAGGTACTGGGTTTGATCCTTAGCACCACACAAGAAAATAAAAAAAATAAAGGCATGATGTCCACCTACAACTACAAAAAAAAAAAAAGCAAAGTTTTACAGTGATTGGATGTGATTTAGAGTGTATCTACTAGGGTTTTATTTATTCATTTATTTATTTTTGGTGTGTATTAATACACAGAAAATAAAATATATCCTTTAACCCTACTTAAGGATACAATTTTTTGGCACTGTGTACACTCACAATTTTGTGCAACCACCACCACGATTCATTTCTAGAAGTTTTTCATCATCCCAACAGAAATTATTTTTAATCATTACAGAATAACTCCTTATTTCTCCCTCCCCCAACTCTAGCCACCACTATTTTGCTGTCTCTATAAATTTTTCTATTCTAAGTTATCTCACATAAGTGGAATCATATTTGAATGGCTTATTTTACTGAGTATGTTCTTAAGGTTTACCCAGGTCACCATGTATCAGAATTTTCCTCTTTTTCATGGCCAAATGATATTCCACTTGTATGTACACCACATTTTGTTTATCCATTCAATTGTTGATAGACATTTGGATCATTTCCCCCTGGCTATTGTGAATGTTACTATGTAATTAGTATACACGTATCTGTTTGAATCCCTGATTTCAATTCTTTGGGGCATATACCAGGAATTGAAATTGTTGAACTACATAGTTCTTTTAATTTTTTGAGGAACTATGAAACTTTTTTCACAGCAGCTACATTTCTTTACTTTTCCACTAGCAATGCACAAAGGTTCCAATTTCTTCCCCAGCCTCATTAGCACTTGTTATTTTCTTAGGAACCTTCACAATCTTATATTCGTAGAAATGATTTTGAGTTATTTGCCAAATGTAAGAATTCAGTACATATTGACATACTGTTTCTTTACTGAAGGAATCTGCATTAGGACTACTTTGATTGCACTGGAAAGACACTTCAAAATATAAGTGGCTTTCGCTCACTTGAACATCTTTTAAATTGGCAGAGAAAGCAAGAGCTAGAAAGAGAATGGGAACAGGAGGCCATCAATTAAATAACTTAGGCAGTGAATCCCCATCAGCATGGTAGTATACTGTACTGCAAGCGCTAAAAAGTGCGAACAAGGGCTGTGGCTGTGGCTCAGCGGCAGCGCACTTGCCTGGCATGTGTGAGGCACTGGGTTCGGTTCTCAGCACCGCATATAAATAAAATAAAGGCTTATCAACAACTAAAAAAAAATTGTTTAAAAGTGTTAACAATAGGACCACAAGCTCACCCATAAAATTTCATTCAAATGTTCCTCTCAGCAACTTTTCAGAGCGGAAGTGAGCGTAGTACCTGGTGCAGCCTAATCGGGTGGCTCTACACTACAGGTTCCTTCCGCCAAGTGGCAGCAGAGTCTCTCGGGACCCCGCGGAGAAGGCAGGTGAACGCCAGGTAAAGCCCGAGCTCGGGCCGCGCCTCACCTTGGCCTCAGGCCCAGGTTTTGAGGAGAGGCGGCTTGTCACTGACCCTGGCTGCGCCCACCTCTCCTCGAGGCTCTCGATTCACGGTCTGGAGCCAGAGGACAGGTGTCCAAAGCACCGTAGACAAGGAAACACCTGGAGGAGGAAGACCAAGCGGTCAGGACTGGGACAAGACGTACACCCTCGCGAGAGTTTGACACACTCCTGCAGCTCGCGAGAATCCTGCGCGACGCGTCCACCAATCACCGGTGGAAGTGGTCCTCGGTGCACGTAATTGGTTAAGAACGGGGAAGCTCGCGCTCCATTGGCCACTTTTCCGACTGCGACTCCACCCCTAGGCCTGAGTCCCCGCCCTTCCCGTAAGTCCACCCCTTAGCAGAGCTGGTGAGGAGAGGAAATGTCAACATAGGCCTTTGGTTCGTGCTCCTGGCCACCCGAATGGAGACCTAGTGGAGTCCCTCCTGCTACCTCAGTCCTAATTCACGCCCAGATTCAGACTTGTTCTGACTCCTTCCTAACCTTGGCCTTCCATCCTGCGATCCATGCTGACCAGTCCTAATCAGGGAGGTGGCTTTTACCTGTGCTTGGGGGAAGGCACACTCGCCTAAACTTTGTCATATTGAAGTATTTCTCTTCAAGCTTTCCATCAATACCTTATATAGTAAACAAGGATCACTACTAAACTCCCTTAATTCCATAAATCATCAAAAGAGGCCCAACAATGTAGAACTGTTATCATTCTCATTTTTCGAGCTAAAAAAGAGGGGGGGGAGAATTATTTATCTATTCAAATTCTGTCTTTTACTCTCTAAATATCCACTGTACTCAGCCCTTTTCATCCCTATCACTCTTGCTTTAATTCAAGCCTTCGTGATTGCTTGCCTGGGTTACTTCCATAAACAGCTTAGTTACTCCTCTCTGGCCATCCTCTATTAATCTTCCCAATGGAAATCTGATTCCATTTCTCAAATCCTTCTCAAGTCTTTCAAATGCATAATCCTTCTGTGGCCCCTTTTTGCTTACATATTCTAGCAGAGACTGATTCTTATTAAAATACAACATACCTACACGTAAGTACACCGTCATGAATGCAGTTTGCTGAAATTGTAATCACACTCATGCTAGCTCATGCAACAGAACACAACTATATCCCAGGACTAACCACTCCCCTCCATTCAATGGTGACCACTATCCTGACTTTTAAGAGCATAGGTAGTATCCCTGCATTTGCACAGTGAGTGAGTGAAGCCATTTCAACAAATATACTTTTGTTCTCGGTTTGTTTAATTTATTATGTTCATGAGGTTCATGCTATTTATTTATTTATTTACTTATTTATTTTTAGTATCATCTGTTCATATAAACCCTGTCTTGGATTTCGTTGTGTGAATATACAATTTATTTATCTAGCCAAATTTGATAGTGGTCCTCTTGGAGTAGTCACCTTTTGGAGCTACTAAAAGCATTGCTTTCAGGTACAGTGGCACATGCCTGTAATCCCAGCAACTCAGGAGGCTGAGGCAGGAGAATGGCAAGTTCAAAGACAGCCTCAGCAATTTAGGAGGCCCTAAAGCAACTTAGTAAGAATGTATTTCAAAATAAAAAGGGATGGGGGTGTAGCTCAGTTGTAAAAGTACCCCTGGGTTCAATCCCCAGTGCCAAATAAAGTGTAACAAACACTGTAATATATCTTTTGATGAACTTGGTGAATGATGAATGCATTTCTGTTGGGTATAAACCTAGAAATGGAATTCTTGGATCAGAGGTTATATATCATGTTCAAATTTAGTAGATATTTTTAAAGTTTTCCAAAATGTTTGTGTCTATTTGTACTCCTTTCGGCAACATGTTCACCATTTTCATCACCATTTGGTTTTCCATTTTTTTAAAAAAAGAATTTATCTGGAGCTGAGATTGTGGCTCAGCAGTAGAGAACTCGCCTAGCATGGGTGGGATCCGAGTTCGATCCTTAGGACCACATAAAAATAAAGGCATTGTGTTGTTTTCATCTACACCTAAAAAACAATTAAAAAAAAGAATTTATCTATTCTTTTTAGTTATACATGACAGTAGAATATATTTTGACTTATCATACATATGTGGAATATAACTTCCTATTCTTGGGGTTGTACATGATGTGGAGTTTCACTGGTTGTGATTTGGATATGAACATAAGAAAGTTATCTCCGATTCATTATACTGTTTTTCCTATTCCCATCTCTCCTCCCTTCCTATCATTCCCTTTGTCCAATCTAGTGAAACTTCTGTTGGTTTTCAATTTTGATCATTTTGGTGGGTGATAATTGAGTCTCATGTCATTTTAACTTGCTTCTTCCTGATGACTGACAAAGTTGAGCACCTTTTCATTTTATTTATTTGCTATTTAGAAATAACTTTATGAAGTGTCTTTTAAAATCTTTGCCCGTTTTTCAGAACGTCTTTTTTGTATTTTCCTAACATTTGATTATAAAAAAATAGCAAATATTGAGCAAAGTTTAGAAAATTTCATACAGTGAACACATTTAAACATATCACATAGCTGGGTGTGGTGACATGCCTGTAATCCCAGCACTTGGGAAGCTGAGGAAGGAGGATTGTGAGTTCAAAGCCAACCTCAGTAATTTAGCAAGGCCCTAAGCAACTTAGCGAGACCCCGTCTCTAAATAAAATATAAAAAGCGACGGGGGATATGGCTCAATGGTTAAGCACCCTGGTTTCAATTCCCAGTACCAAAACGAAAATCACAACAAAAAAACACCAAAAAACAAAACCAAAGAACACTACAGAAATTCTTCCATTAATACTTTATAAAACTTGCTTAATGACAGTTCTTTTGTCTGTCCATCTTAATGTTGTTGCATTTAAAATTAAAATGTAGATAGCAATACATATTTAACTTTCTAAATATTTTAGCATGTTTTTCACTTAAAATCAGTAGCTAAGGTTTCTTTCAGTGTAAAGTGTACATGAAATAAGGGTACAAATCTTTAGTGAACATTTGCTGAGGTTCAACAAATGCACTTACTTGTGTAACCCAAACTTCTATCAAATATGTACCATACCATCACCCTGGAAGGTCCTTCATGCTGCCCCCTATTTCCACTCTCCCAGGGCGACTGGTATGCTGATCTTTTCCACCACTGTAGGTCAGTTTTGCCTGTTTCAAAATTTCGTACAACTGGAGTCATACAGTACATTCTTTTTTTGTAACATTCCTCTCATTTAACACACTGTATTGAGATTTATCCATATCATTAATGCCTTCCTTTTCATTTTTGAGTAGTATTCCACTGGATGAATATATCACAGGTTGTTCATCTGCTGCAAGTGTCTTTTTAAAAGAATCACTTTATTGAGGTGTGATTACTACATTAAATTGTATATACCTAATATAATTGTATATACACAACTTGATGAGTTTGGAGATAATGATACACCCTTGAAACCATCAGCATAATCTCTACCATAAACATATCTATCATCTCCAAGAGTTTCTTCCTGCCTGATTACCCCCTTTCTCTTCTCTCTGTATATATACAAATATACACGCATATATATTGCATATATCCTCTCTCATTCTGAGTTCCATTTCATTCTTTATTTTTAATTAATTTATTTTTTTAATATTTATTCTTTTAGTTTTCGGTAGATATAACATCTTTATTTGTATGTGGTGCTGAGGATCGAACCCGGGCCGCAAGCATGCCAGGCGAGCGCACTACCACTTGAGCCACATCCCCAGCCCCTCATTCTTTATTTTTAATTTAGAAATATATTTTATTAGGTTAACAGCTTTTTATCAGCATGAAGAAGGATACAAGCTCTAGAAGATTCTAAACATTCAACAAAGTGATAGGAAATCTAACATAAATGGATACATTTTGATAAATTATAAATGTGATGACTATGGACATGTAGGTTTTAGTGTGTAAAATTATACTAATGTATCATTTCATTCTTTTAATGATGTCTTTTGAGGAAAAACTTTTTTATTTGTCGAGGTAGGTCCAGATACTTTTTTTTCTATGTAGACAGCCAATGGATCTAGCAAGGTTAATTTAAAAAATCACTTTCCCCTCTCTAGTTGTTATAAGTGTTTTAAGTGACAATTTGTGTGCAGATGCATTTCTCAACTTGATTCTGTTCTATCAGGTGATTTGTGTATCTTCACACCATCACCACACTGTCCCCATTTCTATGGCTTTATTGTAAGCCTTGATAGTGTACCAATGAACTGAATTTTTAATTTAAATTTTAATAGCCATGTGGCTATTGGCGACCAGATTGGACAGCACAGATTTATAATATTTCCATCTTCACAGGAAGCTCTATTGGATAACAGCTCTAGATGGTCTGTGGCAGAAAATACCAGAGTTTAATGTTATACTGCTCTTCAAAAATATCTATGTAAGTCCTTTTTAAAAGGAATTTGGGACACAATTCCCATAGATTAGTAAGACACCCAGTTCTTTCAACCTTGAACTTTTAGAATTGAACTTAAACTCTTAGAAATGAAAATACTGTTTCCAGTGTGGGAGAATGTAGTGCCTTGGAAAACATTTTTCATGATCAGACAAGATGAAATATGTAGCCCCATATCACAGGAAAAGATTCCTGAGGAAACCAGGCTTAGTTGGCACATGCCTGCAATTTCATAGATTTGGGAGGCTGAGGCAAGAGGACGGTAAATTTGAGGCCAATCTCAGCAGTTTAATGAGACCCTATCTTAAAATAAAAAATAAAAAATACTGAGGATGTAGCTCAGTGTAGAGCACCCCTGGGTTCAATCCCCAGTACTAAAATAATAAAATAAAATAAAATAAAAAATAAAGATTCCTAAGGTAATATAATAGCCACCAGCTGTAGGTCTAATTAAATTTTCAGTTTCTCAGTGCAGTAGACTAAATAATGGTCTCTAAATATGTCAATATCCTAATCCCTGGACTTTATTTAGCAAAAGGGACTTTGCAAATGTAATTAAACTAAGAATCTTGAGATGGGAGATTATCCTGGATTATTTGGGTAGGCCTTAAAAGTAACTGGTAGTGTCCTCACAGAAGGGAGACAGAAGAGATTTGACTACAGAAGAGAAGGAAGCAATGTGGTCACTGAAGCCAGTGGCCATGCTGCTGGCTCTGAAGATGGAAGAAGGGGCCTCTAGCCTAGGAAT